TTTTTTTTTATCACCCTTGAAGACGAGAAAGCAACTCGGAAAAAACAACAAAAATTATTTCTAATTTTCTAATTAATATCTTTTTTGGGTGTTGCGGCCATGTCAGAGGCTATGTCACCTGTGGTCTCCGATGAGAAAAGAGAGAAGAGAAAGGGAAAGAGAGGAGAGAGAGCGATAAAGAAAGAGAGAGAGAGAGATACAGGGAGAGAAAGGGAGAGAAAGGGGGAGAGAGAGAGAGAGAACAAGCTGCATAACAGATAGGTAGGCATACATCTGTTGTCCACGTGTTTGGCGGCAAATCGGATGCGCTATTTCGGGAAAGATACGGAGCGGAGGACGCGCGCCAATGGGGAAAGCCGCGGAGGACACGCGCAATGGCGGGGGCGAGGGGGGGGGGGGGAAGCAGGCGAAGCTTTCCCCCTGTTCTCACTCACTCATGGCTAGAAGCAACCATCTCATCATTATCACTCTTTTTTTCTTTTCTTTTCTTTTTTTTTCGTGCAGTTTGGTGCCGTATCTCGACTTTCTGTTCATCCCGCATCGCCAGTTCAGCTTACCAAAAATGGTAAGCTCAAGCAACCCCGAAATCTTACCTATTTTAGGAGCTTTAATTGACCCTCGAGGTTCGCTTAAGCAACCCCGAAATCCAACCCCCGAAAATCCAACCCCGAAATCTTACCTATTTTAGGCTATTTATCATTCTGATGACGGTGATTTCGACAGACATGACGTGGCGCTCCGCGTTCACAGCCAAATATACGGAGAGTACACTGTACCTCACAGCGTGTTAACTGTGTGAGCTGAGAGAGCAGGGGAGAAGTGGGGAATAGGGGGACACTAGGTACAATGTACCTGACTTCTTCTTCCACTCTAACAGAGTGGTGACGCAATCTTCCACCCTTCCCTTCTGACAAGGCGCTCACTCACCTCTCCCCCTTCCGGCGGGTTTTGCCACGTGCTATGCTGCCACGTGCTATGTTGACACGTGCTATGTTGACACGTGCTATGTTGACACGTGCTATGTTGGCACGTGCTATGTTGACACGTGCTATGTTGACCAGTAGATGCCACGTCAGATCCTACCAGACGTCAGAAGTCGGTAGTGACTGGCAAAAACGTTACCACTACCTCGTTAGTTGAGTGATTAAATGATTGATTGATTGATCGATTGATTAGTTGATTGATTGTTCTGGCTGATCAATTTGATGGATGAATGCATTGGTTGATTGACAGGTCGGGTCGATTGGTTGAATCAATCAAATGGTTGATCAATAGATTGGATCAATTGATTCCGTCAATTCTCAATTCCAATTAACTGACTGGTTAAGAAAACTAGTTGATAGATGGACGAATAGATGAGATGAATGAGATGGATGGATGGATGGATGGATGGATGATGAACTGATTCGATTGATTGCTTACCTGATTGATGGATGGATGGATGGATGGATGGATGATGAACTGATTCGATTGATTGCTTACCTGATCGATTGATTGATTGATTGATTGATTGACTGACGGATGGATGGATGGATTCAACCAATCATTCATTTACTCGTCCAGTTTAAGTAATGGATTAATTGACAAATTAATTGATCGATCGTGCGATTGATTCGTTGACCAATCACACGATCGATCGACTGGACGATCGTGAACCAATCAATCCATTCATTAAGCATCCATCACTAATTACCCAATCAATCCGTCAATCCATTCATCAATTCATTGTGCAGATTCCCCAATCATCCTTCCGTTGTTGATTGCTTGACCGACCTATTTTTTTGCCCGATTCACTGTCGACGGAAATCTGTGATTGCTTCGTCTAAAAAAATACAAAAAAGTGTCTCCGAAAAATACATCACTGCCACTCTAGGAGGAGGAGGACCATGGCTTTCATCCACCCCCGCCGCCATCGCTGGATCTTAGGATAATACGGTAAAGCTAAGTGGTGATATATATATATTGTCACATGATATCAGAGCGCCTAAGCGAAAAAACCAAAAAAACAAAAAAATCTTAAATTCGTTTTTAATAGTCTTCCTTACAACTCCCCCTGTTCAGAACCTCTTGCGTACAAGGCCGGCCACGTGGATGTAGGTTGAGCGGCGGCTGCCCCCACCCCCGTGTGTCATATCGACCCACTTGCACACAGCCAAAAGGCAAAGAGGCAAAGAAGAGAGGAAGGGAACAGCCAAAT